GAGGAGGGAGGGGTGTCCGGCTGTTGCTGGGACAGTGGGCGCTGGGTGGCCTCCGGCCTGGGACTGGCTGCCTCCGTCACACTGAGAGTCCCAGCACAGGCCTCTGGCTCAGGCCTGGGTAAAGCCAGGGTGACGGTGGGCCCGTGTGTCCGGCTGCGTGGGCATAACACCGACAGGGCGGGGCCTCGGTGTCTTCATGGCCTGGGTTTTGGGTCCCCAACTGCAGGAAATGCGGACAGACTGGTGGTACCCACGGGAGGGGGCAGAGTGAGGGGGGGCTGGGGCCGGCTAAGACCCCAGCTGTCCCAGCTTGTGGAGTCCAGGTAGGCCCTGGGGGTTATGTGCAGACGCCTGCATCTGATTCTGAGGTCTCCCCCTCCTCGCCCCAACCCCTGGCGTTCTGCTTGCCCTGTCAGCTGGGCAGGGGGAGGTTTCTAAGTGGGACCCCCAAGGAGCCGGCCAGACTGGGAGACCGCTGTCTGCACTGATGGCCACACTCCTGGCCGCCTTCCTGCCCCCCCACCCCGAGGCTGCTGCCCTCCCCTCACAGCTGACGGGGCACGTGGCAGTGATGGCGATTAAGTCTAGGAAGGCTTCCTGGGGGAGGCGGCGGCGCCCAGGTCAAGTGAGGAGACTCGGGCGGATTCGGGGACAGGTGTCATGCAGGCTTCTGCAGATCCTGGAACCCGGCACGGCCCCGGGCTGGCCGGCCCTCCCCAACTCACCCTGCCTCGTAACCCAGTCCTTCCTGTCCCTCCGCACATCTTAGCTATCTTGAGGGACTTGAGTGGAGGAGGTAACTATGGGCTGTGTGAACTACTCTGGCTTCCAAGAAACTTTCGGCCCCTTTGGCTGTGTTCAGCTCACCTGTCCTGGTTCCAGGTAACAGGTGTGGCCCAAGGCCTTGACCCCACTCAGGGAAGCGCTCAGCACCGGGCCCCAAGCCTGACCCTCAGCCCCTCCAGCCTGCCAGAGACCCGTGTTTGTGTCCAGCGCGCTTGGGGACACGCAGTGCTGCGAATGCCCCGCTGGAGGTGGCCGAGCGCGGGCCGGGGCGCCCTCTAGTGTCGGCCCGGCTGCGTCTTCCCTGCGCCCTGTTCCTCTCCCGCCGGCGGGCTGGGCTGGGGTGCGCGCTCAGGACACCGGGGCCTGGCCACCTGGGGTGTGGGGGTGGCCTCTGGGATGCGGGACAGGGACCTTCAGCCGCAGGCTGGCCGTCTCCAGACCCCACCTGCCCGGCTCCGCCTCCACGGCCATGGAGGCGGCTCACCTGGCCCCGGGCGCCAGAGTGGCCTTGGGAACCTGGTTCCCAGCCTGTCACTTGCACCTGCCTACCCGGCAAGGCGGCACTGGGCACCACCCATGCCCGCGTCCTGTCCCCAGGTGCGTGGGTGAATACGTTCGGACGCTGCTGCCCTGTCTTCAGAAGGCATCCATATAAAACTGTCCCGTCGCCCACAGCGGCGGGGGGTGCTTTCAATCCAGACCCCAATGGCTGCCTCTCCTTAGCGTCCAGTCTGCAACAGGCTGGCCCTTCGTCCCTCTGCCGGTGGCTTTCAGGGGTACAGCCATGTCCTGTGGGAAGCCCGGCTTCCTGGACATGCTGGTGTCTCCCATAGGGGAGGGCAGTGCCTGGGCACAGGGCCCTTGGGTCTCACACCCAGCTCCCCAGGGCTGCAGGGTAGGGTGGGTGGGGTCCGGCATGAAGGCCCCTCTGCTGGAATTCCCGGTAAGAGCTTCCCGTGGACTAATTTCCTCCTGAGAAGAGGGGCTGAATCTAATCCCCGATTTTCACAGGAGGTGGCTAGTGGTGGTCTTTTGATTACAACCGATTTTCTTGGATGTTTCTGGCTTTGCCAGGGGCAACCCTTCAGGCGGCTGCTGTACCCTCTGGGCCGAAGCCCCAGCTCTGCATAGCTGGCCAAGGGCCTGCCTGCCCACAGCCCTGGTGCCTTTCCTATGTGGCCTTCTGAATCGTGGACTCACGTGGCTCCAGTGGAGAAACAGGCTCCAGCCCAGCCTCATGTCCTGGGTGCCCGCTGGGGCTGTGGTCCCGGCTCAGGCCCTACCTGCCCACAGGCTCACACAGGGCCTGGCCTCAGAACTGACCCACAGTGAGCACATGGTCCACAGCATGAGGGTCTGGGGGCCTGCTGGGGGCACCCCGATGAAGCTGGGTGGGCACCTCTGGTCCGGGGGCCAGGCATGAGGAGGGTAAGGGCTGAGGCCTGGGCTGGTCTCAGAGGAATGGGAAGCCGTGGAGGGCGGCCCCCAGGCAGGGTGCTGGGCGTCGGCAACGGTGGAAGCAGCCCACTCTGTCCCCCAAGGAGCCTGGTACCAGTGCAGGGGTGATGCCCCCTGAGAGACTCAACATCCTGGGGTAGGGTGGGGTCCTATCCACTGAGGGGCTAGAGGGGGCTGGGAGGACAGGGGAGACCACTTTGTGCCTGTCTGCCTGCTACTGGGACCCTCTGCCAGGCGGCCCTCCCAGCCAGGCCTCAGCTCTCCACCTTGGAGAGGCACCCCTGCCCACAGTCCCTCAGGCTCTTTGGGGAGCAGGCCGTGGTAGGAGCCCTACCTCCTCCAGGACCCCCCCAAGGCAGCGGGGGCCACACCCTTGGTCAGCACTGTCTCCATGCCCAGGGGCCTCAGTCTTGCAGAACAGAACTGTGCTGTCTGGGTGACCCCCAGGTTCGAGGCAGCCACCGAGGGTCGGGTGGGGGAGGGCCTGGTCAGGCAGCAACCACCTCACCTAGCTGGACAAATCAATCACCGAGTGGCGACAGGTCATCAAGATAACACTTTATTCAATCCTGGCCTTACATCAGCTTGGGTGTCTTGTCACCAGCACAGTGTGAGGGGACGAGCAGAGCACTGACAAAGAACAAGGCGAGGGCTTGCGCCCCGGAAGGTGAGGGTACCAGAGCCCCCCTTCTGCAGGGAGGCAGAGCCAGACCTGGGCCACACAGCTGTCACAGGCAGACACGCAGACAGTCGTGACAATTTCCACCTTGACGTCTTACTTTGAATTGTTATGGGAACATTAATTTGATATTTTAATAAAGCCATTATTTCTGAGAAAAGTGCTTAAACATGTGAAGCCGGGGCCCCTGGAGGACACGTGGAGGCAGAGGCAGGGCCCTGCTGTGAGAACCACGCCTGAAGCTCTTCAGTGGCAGGGCCCAGCATGTTAACAAATCCCGAATGGAAGACTCCATGTGACTGTGGAAGCCACGTGCAGTCCCCCGAACCTCTGCTGAAAAGCGGGCCTGTGGGAGGGGAGGGCACATGTGCTAAGAATTCCCATCTCACTCTCAAGCAGGCAGACACCACGCTCCCGACAGCGGGAGCTTCTTAAACCCCTCGTCAGGCGAGACTCCCATTTCTAGATCCACCTGCACCCGCACACTGGTCTCAGCTGCAGTGAGTCAAGGTCAATACCGTAGAAGCAAACACAAAATGAAGGGGAAGCCTGTAGCAGAGACGGCCAACCTTACAAAAGCTGAAGGTTCCTGCTAGCAGCTCGCGCCTGTGCAGCATGAAGCCCCTGCAGCAGGGGGGCAAACGCTGCTCCTCAAAGCTGCAGACAACCAGGAGGGCGGCTGCACACAGGAGGGATACACAGGGCACCCGGCAAGGCAGCAAGGATGGGGACGGGAGCCAGGCGCAGCTGATGGGGCCCCAAGGTACTGCTCACTAGTAGGATGGCCGCCGTCCATGGGCACACTGGCCAAGCTCATGGGCAAAGACACCTTACAGCTGAAAACCAGGCCACGAAATACATGAGATGACCCACAGACACTCCAGAAGCATCGGGAGCGCACTGCTCACAGAACTGCAATAAAAATCCTTTAGGACCCAGTGTAGATGTACAGAGGTTACACCTGAGGATACAAAATCTCACTCCTACATTGTGTCAAGTCTCTGCTTCAAGGGCCTAATAAAGTTTCAAGTAATTTAGAAGCTATCAGTTCTGAGCCCTCCTCGCCCAGCTGACCTGGCCGCTCTATTCCTGTCCTCCAACCCTATGTTTGGATTCCCCTAAAAGAAGTCTTCCCTTCAAAGGGCAGGTCAGACAGAGCTGAGGCCACAGGACACCTGGCCCTGCCCACCCCACGCAGCCACCCTGCCTGAGAGCCAGGTGCTGAGCCCTCGGGACACCAGGGCTACACAATGAGCCTTTCTGCCAGCCCCTGGGTGCCCACCATAGGGCCGGGAGCAGACACCTGCCTGATCCTTCGAAAGGAGCTGCCCAGGAGAGCAGATGGTGGGTACCTGGAGGCCCCGGGACCGCAGAGCTGTGACAGGGTGACGCCTGGCGGCCGCACCCACTGCTAAACAGGCACAGTGGTATCTGCTCTGATCGCCCACGGGACAGCGAGGTGCTAACCACCCAAATTAGGAAATGTTCCAAGAGCCACAGCAGCACAATACATTTCCAAATGTCAACGCTTCATTAGTGTCACGACACGCTTTACATTAGAGACCACGCTTGAGCCAGGCAGACTGCGGGTAATTGGTTAAAGGGTTAGGTAAAAATCAAAGGTGAATCAAGAAAGCTGACACAGACAGGAACCCCGCGTGACAGGACGCTCCTGCCCGATCGTGATTCTGCGAGGCCACACGGCGACCAGGGACGTTCTCTCAGTGGTCAGACAGGGCTCTGGAGACATGACACAGACATTCAAGTCCAAGTCTGCAGACCAGGGTCTCCTCCGGAGCTGAGGGGTCCACGGCCCAGCCTCTCCTCCGGGACAGACACCACCAGGCGCAGGCCCGAGCCACCTCTGAGCCAGGCCAGTGTGTGGCCACGGCGAGGACGCAGACACGGCTCCCTGCAGGCTCGGGGGCTCCAGACTGGTTGACTCTTCGTGGAATGACGAACATTAAAGATTACTTGATGGTGGAAGTTCCTGATTTATTCCAGACAAAATATAGACGTGTCACTACTAGCGTCTCCTCGCGGCAGAAGGGCAGGTGGCGGGCGGCTACCCCTTCACCTCGGCAGCCTCCTTCCCCGCCTTCTCCGCCTTCTCTGCCTTCTCCTTGGCCTTCTCCTTCTCCTCCACCTTCCCCTCCTTCTCCAGCGTCGCCAGAATCTCCGCCACCTGGCTGGTGGAGATGTGAATGTCCTCTTTATCCACCAGCTCAACCACCTACACACAAGAGAACAACAAGGAATCAGGGGGGCTGTTCCCCTGACCACCAGGCTGGGACGGCCACCGGCACCCAAGCACTCCACTGCCCACCAGGGCCCCTGGGAGCCTCCACTGCCCTGGTCCTCAGAGTACTGGCCCCCACCCCACGGGCCAAAAGGCTCATAGCCCCACAACAGGTTACAAGCTGCCAGGGGGACGGTGCCTCCCCCAGGGCCCAGGCTGCAGGGACACATCTCTGTCCGTCCAGGGCCTGCCCAGGAGGCTCCCCCAGGAAGAGTGCAGGGTGTGCAGGGCTCGGACATCTGAGGAGGAGCCCCAGGGAAGGGGCAGGTGGCCTGGACTTGCCACTCCCAGCCTGGGCAGCTGGCGAGTGATGACGGTTCGAATGTGCACCTGCTGCTGCCTCGATTCCCAACGAACCGAGTTAGCTGAAACTCCTAACCAGCTGGACAGACAAGGACCCTCAGAACTTCTGCGAAAGCGCTTGTCTCACGGTCTTCCTCGTGGGGGGCTCCCGCTCCAAGCCTCCTGGGCTGCCCAAGCTTTCGCACCAGGGACCTCAGTGGTGCCCTCAGGGTCACCTCCCAGGCCTCAGGACTGTCCAGCGCACCTCCGCCCCGGGGGTCTGCCTGCCCTGCCAGCCCCACCCCACCTTGACGAGGTCGTTGATGTTGACCCGGCCATCCCTGTCCTCATCTAGTGCCGAGACCAGGCTGATGAGCTTGTTTTCTGGAATGTGCTTGATCTGCTTCATGGCGTTGACGAGCTCGGTGACGCTGACGTCAGTCTCCCTGGTAGGGGGGGTGCAGGGTGAGAGTCCGCATGTGACAGGGCCTGCACCCAATCTCAAGGCTCCCAGGTCAGCCCTGCCCCTTCCTGTGGGGACACCCAGCCAGCTGGGACAGAGAGAAACCAGCCCTTGGCCCAGGTGCTGCGTGTGCAGCCCCCGAGCCCGGTACTCCCTGGGCGGTGTTCCCCAGTCTGTCTGCGCCGGGGGGGCTGTTGCTTTCTGACCAGTGAGGGCAGGTGGGCCCATACACACAGCAGGTCAACCCAAAAGGGGACGCTGACCTTGTCTAGGGGCAAAAGGCCTCCAGCCCAAGGACAGGACAGTACAGAGCCTGGTCCCCAGGGGAACCGAGAGTCAGCTACCACCACTGGTGGGGTAGTTTCATTCTGGGACACCAGTGCAGCAGACCCAGTGCATGCATGGGGGTGATTACTGTGTGTCCCTGGAGCCGAAGGGGACTGAGGCTGGAGGGTGGGGAAGTGTGGTGGGAAGGGGGACAGATATAGCTTCCAGGGGTGCTGTGAGCTGGCCAGCAGCCTGGAGAGATGTGGATTGAGGTGAATACAGCAGGCGAGCGGACAGGGGCACAGTGTGGGCACACAGGGAGAGAGGACAATAGCTGCCGGGGAAACATATGGAGAAGGGAAGCTGACAGGATGGGTTTCTGGCTGGAACCACTGGGTAAAGGCAGGGCAGCCAGGACCAGGGCTACAAATGCACTGGACTCAGCAGCACTTAAGCCCTCTGGTCCTCAGCCCTGGCATCCACGCCCACACTTACCCCGTGGGCAAGCCCGGGACAGCCGGGCCCAGCTTGCCGGCCTGCTGGTCCGCCTCCAGTTGTGCGAGCAGCTCGTCAATCTGCCCGATCATCTGCTGCACCCTCTTGGTCAGCCTCTTGCTGGCTTTGGACTCTTCCACCTCCATCTCTTTGCCAGTCTTTGAAAGTTCCTTCTTAATCTCTTGCAAGTCCTAATGAAGTTATTTTGTAAAAAGATGGTCTTAAAATAAAAAAACTTACAATAAAGTTTACCCTATAACCTAATTAATTCAATCTGGTGTCCAGAGGGTGACAAGCTGCCACTGTGGGTGGAGCAGACACCTCGGGCCCACCATGAGAGGCACCGCCTGCTGGTATCCAGCACACACGGCTCTGGTTTCTGCAAACTCAAACCTGTTTTCTAGCAAAGGGAACGGAGTCTGTCTGGAACCTCAACTCTCCTCCTAGCTGTTAAAGAGTAAATAAATAGATAAAAGAATCAAGGAATGGTAAGTATCTTCTTAAATTCACACCAGTTTTTCCCAAGAGCAAAGATGGGGGAAAAGAAGATGGGGGGCGGGCTGGACGAGGGAAAGGCTGAATTTATGATACACCCCTAATTTCTGACAAAATTCAAGAACAAAAAGGCTGCCAGGAGAAAGTTTAAAAAAAGGCAAATTACTTTTACCAATTTCAAAATTAGTCAACTTTCCCCAACAGAGCTGTGAAAACAGTTCTTTCAAGTCAGATTAGGAATACTGATAAAAAAGATATGTTTTCCTTTAAAAATAATCCATAGCCTGGCCAGGCGTGGCTCAGTGGCTGAGCACTGACCTAGGACCCAGGAGATTGTGGTTCCATTCCTGGGTTTCTGGCTCGATCCCCAGTCGGGGGTGTGCAGGAGGCAGCCTATCAATGACTCTCATCATTGATGTTTCTCTCTCTCTCTCCCCTCCCTTCCTCTCTCTGAAATCAATAAAAATGTGTTTAAAAATAATAGTAATAAGTAAATAACAAAAATAATAACTACTATAATAGAAAGAAGTCTCCTTCAGGAAACCAGAAATGAAAATAAGATTTCACTACCAACCAGCCAGGTCCTTCACCCGACGCCTTTGTGTGCGGAGAAACTAGCGGGGACCGGCAGCTCCCAGGACAGGGGCAGCCGCAGTGGCTGTGCAGAATTACTGAACAAACTCAACCAGATCCATTTTCTCTCCAAATACCCAATGGTAACATACTATACCCTTTGGCTTATCAAATATTTGATGCAAGTAATATTGGAAACCAGCAGAAACCAGAATCTTAAGAGCAAGCCCACAGCCCACCTCGCTACAGTCCTGCGCCCACAGCGCCCACCTCGCTATAGTCCTGTACGTCGTCTTTCAGCAGCTGCAGCTCCTCCTTCTCTTGCCTCAGGGATGCTGTCTGCTCCTTCAGCTTTGAACAGGCGTCGCTGAGGATGTCGATTTCCTCCTTGGTGATCTCCTCTCCCTGGAAGGAGACAAGGCAGAAGCACTGAGATGAAGGGGAATCATCCTGCATGTGGCGGAGCCTCAGGCGCCTGCACAGGCCCAGCCCTCACGCTCCCCTGCGGGAGTGGCCGTGTCCTCTGACATGTGAACAACAGTGAGACCGTCCCTGTCCAGAGAGAAGCATCTGCCTGTCCCCCCGCGACGCCCCTCGATGTATGACCCTCGCCCCTGCCTCCAGGAGACCAGGTGGTGGTGCTGGCATTCTGCACAAGGCATTTCCTGACTCCTCGCTCCCCAACTCCAAGATTCGTGTGTCCCTGTCAGGGCCAAGTGCTTCCACACAGTGCAGACACCACGCGGCTCATCCCCTCTCCTGGCTACTCTAGGTCCCCTGAATTCCCATGTAAGTTTCCACGTGACTCTGAATTTCAACAGAAGGGCCTGCTGGGATCTGGCTGGTCTTGAATCTACAGAGCAGTTGGAGAACTCGCATCTTCCGGAGTCCCTGCACCTGCGGTGCAGCAATCGCCGTTCACCTGGCTCTGACTCACCTGCACAGTGTCTCCAGCACTCAGTGTGCAAGTGTCCCAGACCTGTTTTTAAACCTGTCTTGAGCTGTTCATTTTTCAGCTGTTCCTGTGACACACTTTGACATGTCCCATTTCTGATGACTCATGACCAGCAGAGACGGTCACTGACTTGCAGGTGCTCTCGTCCTTTGTGAGCAAAGACCACTTCACTTCCTCTTTTCTGATAGGTGTGGTTTTGCTTTTCCCCTTACCCACCTGTCCTGGCCAGACCTTCAGTGCAAGAAGGGGATGGGGAGGGTGACGGCTGCACCACTGTCCCCACAAGGGGCATCCTCCTCGACTGAGAAGTTTCTTACAGGTCCTGGGCTGTCGGCTTTCTCTGCGCCCACTGGAAGGACCACATGTGGTTTTCTCCTGTTAGCGTAGTAACTACACTGACTTTTATTCCCTGGAAACCCCCATTGCGAGGCTTTACCCTTGTTACAGACGAGCTGCACCTGACTTGCTGTAAGTCTGTTGAGAACTCTTCCCCCTGTTCCTGGAAGACACCAGCCTGTGGTTTCCTCACATCTGGTTCTGGCCTCAGGCAATGCTCATCTCAGAACGAGCTGGGGAAGAGCCCTTCTCCCAACGTCCTACCAGAACTCTGCAGCCCTGTAAAGGACTCTTCCGTACAGGTGGACTCCCAGTGCCTTCACCTGGGAAGCCAGGTGGCCCTAAGGCATCCGCTGTGGAAGGCTTTTCAGCCAGACTGCACTTCCTGACGGGCAGAGCTCCTTAGCTCCTCCACCCAGATATGGCCAGGCCTGTGGGGCCCACAGGGACAGAGCGCTGGGTCCCACGCTTTATAGCATCTTTCCAATGAACCCAGGCTCCTCACTGTCATTTTAAAGGTCTGTGCTTCCTGCTAATAAATCCTTGGCAACCCTTAGTTCCTAAGTTCTCCTGTGAGTTCTCACTGTCCCTTTTAAAAAAAATCATCACTGAGAATACATTTATTGACCAAGGACACAATTACTGATTTTAGAGAGAGAAAGGGAGACAGAGAACTATCAATGTGAGAGAGAAACACTGATCAGTTGCCTCCCATACACACCGCAACCGGGGATTGAACCCACAACCTTTTGGTGTGTGGGGCCAGGCACCAACTTACCGAGCCACCAGGCCAGGGCCTCATCGTCCTTGGACATCTAAATTTTTAACTATCAGAAATGGGATGCATCTGTTTCCATGAAGACAGCCAACCATCCTGGCCCCACTTACTGACAGGTGCCCCTTCTCCACACCCCACTCCATGGACCCAGCCTGTCTCACCTCTGCTCAGGTGTCCCTAACCCAGCCCCACATCCCCTTAAAATGACCCTTGTATCTCAGTCACTAACCCCTCCCAGGTTGCCCTTTGAGTCCAGCTCTGCCAAACTCCCAGGACCCCCTTCCTCCCAGCTCAGCCAGGCTCCTGGGACTTCCCTCCTTCCTCCTGGGTCTCAACATGTGGGTAACCTGCTTATTTCCATACGCCCCCAGGCCATGTCCCAGGAGTGGGCAGGCCTCCCTCCTCCTTCTTTGGGCCTCAAGGCCATCAGTGGAATGAAGCAGAGAGGCCCCCCAGGCTAATCCCAAGCCATGCCCGTATCCAAAAGCAGCCCGGCCAGGCTCTGGACAGCCACACCCCACCCACTGCCTACCTCCCAGCATGCTGTCTTCGCAGGTCACAGTTCAATGCGAAGACCCAGCTTGGGTGCTTTGTCTCTGCTCGGGAATATCTGCATCTTTCCGAACCCCAACCCCCAGGCCTTACAGTTTTGCTTCCCTCTCTGCTCTACAACTGCTCTTGCCAAGGCCACTGACAACCCACACTGCCCATCAGGGGTCAATCCTCAGGCCTCGTCTACCCATCCTTTAGCACCACCTCCTAACACACCCCCTCCTCCCTGGCAGCCCTCATGGCCTCGTGGAATTCCCAGACATAAATCTGCCACCCCGGTCTCCTACTCTAGCTGCCAGGCGGACGTGGCCATGTGGTTGGCAGACATCTCCTCCCTACAACGTGCCCCAGAAGCTGCTCTGTCCAGGTGTTCCCTGTATCTGGCCCACCTGGTAGTTCCAGACAGGAGTTCCATGAGGGGAACAGGCTATACCAGGACGGCAAGGCCCAGAGACAAGTACCCCCAGGGTGCACAGCACATAACAGGCTGGGGTGCTGGAGCCCAGGCCACCAGAGAAAGTGACAGGAGGTGGGCCTCTGTGGAGGGACCACAGCAGCGTCCCCTCCCACTGCCCAGCCCAGCTGACCAGAAGACAGACCCCTTTCTGTGTGGGTACCCTGGCACTTTGAGCACAGAGGGCCTGGGCACCGAGAAGCAGCCCCCTCAGCTCTACCTTCTAGGTGCAGGCGCTGTCCTCATACCAGGCCTCCCAGGAACACCTGCAACCTGCAGCCGCAACCTCCTTGCCCATGTCCCCAGGAGTCTACAAGCTGGCCCGTCCTCACCCATGCTCAGCTCTGCCCTGCATCCCTCCTGGGCATGCGTGAGTGCTAGTTACCTTCACACCCTCCAGGATGGGGGCGGTGTCCTTCAGGTCCTCTGACGGCAGGATGTTGGCCACTTCTGGCTGCAGTTCGGCCACAGGCCTCCCAGGTGCAGCCTCCGCCACTTCAGACGCCATTTCCTTCTGAAACACAGGAAGGGCCAGCTCAGTGCCACCCACACCCACGGCTTCCCATGGTGTCCACACAGGCACTGGTGTGACACTGGTCAGGCCCTCTCTAAACAGGCCTGCATGTGGTGGAGATTCATAGAGCCTGTCATTCGGCAGTGGGGACCTGCCTCCGCAGGTTTCAGGCAGGACCCTCCAGACAGATGATGTAGAGTGACCAAGTGCATTTACACAGCCAGCAGCTGTGCACAGCTGTGCACCAATATTCAACACTCACCCAGGCCTCACAAGCAGCCACCACACCTCATGTCCTCTTTAGTCCTGTCCTGACCACTGCATGAAGCTACCCTAGAACTTGCCGAATAAACGCCTTATGGGAACGTGTGTCGAGAGCCGGAAGACATCTGCAGCCTGGGCCAGCAGCTAAGCTGGCCCTGCTGTGCTGACCAGAGCCCAAACCAAGGCAGAGCCAGCTGACTCACCCCCCTGGCACCCTGAGCATTCCTGCCCCCACTGTGCCCCAGTATTCCAGAGGAAGAGGGGCCGGACCTACAGAGCCCCAGGCAGTCCTGAGACAGTTTCTGCAGCAGTGAAGCAGGCACCCTTTGCCATGTCCCAGCTCCCCCTGCAGGCCACTTACCGCGGCCTCTGAGAGCCTCTGCAGCTCCTTCTCCCGGTGCTCCTGCTGGATGGCTGCCTCCTCCTGTAGCGTGGCCTCCAGCTTCGCCTTGTTGTCCACCTGCTCGCCCTCCACCTCTGCTGCCTTCACCTGCGCTTCCTTCGCCTTCAGAGAGGGCAAACCTGGGCGTGAGCCTATGGGCTGCCACTGCCAGAGTCCCACAAAGACCCCCTGCCCCAATTCTGACTTGTCGACACCCAGGCTTCTGCTGAGGCCCCCAACAGCTAGGAAACACCACGAGGCCCGAGGATCACCTTCCGCACAGCTGAGGATCCCTTGCTGTCCAGAGAAAGGACAGACCCAAGAGGAGGGAAAGGTGCATTGTGGACCAAAGGGTTCCCATGGCTGAGGGGTGGGTGTTTCTGTGGTCCCTACCCTCAGAAACTGGAGGGCCCCTTAGAGTGCGCAGCAGAAGGGTCTCCCAGTAATACGTACCACAATCTCTGGCAGGGTCTGCAGCGTGGACTTGAGCTGGTCGGCGGGCGACAAGGTGTCTGGGAGGTACATGGCGCGGGACAGGATGAGAAGCGATGTAGGGATCTCCTGGTGCAGGTGCAGCTCCAGCCACTGGAATTGGAGGTCAATACCCAGACTCACCTGTGGGCCTTGTCCCGCCCACACCTGGGACCTGGACGGGCTCTGGCCCTGGAACTTTGCTGCCTGTTCTGGTCTGGCTGCGGGGAGGGGAGGAAAAGGGGACTGGCGGCAACTGGCACAACAGGACTTGAGTAGATGGAGCCACGTTCCACTGGGACGCATTCTCAAGCTCTGAAAGGTTGATTTACTGCCTCGTTTTGTGACTCGATGCCCACCTGAGTCAGCCGAGCACAACCCCAAAAGACCTTGAGGTAACACCCTGGAAGCCAGGCCTCAGGGTCGGGAAACACTGGGCAAGATGAGATTTGTTGCCAGGAAGTTTCACTTCAAAGTGGGACAAAGACCCCCGCAGGTGATACTTGTGAATTCACTCAACACTCGGGGCTTACACACCTACTATGCACCAAGGACTCCTTTAGGCTATTTTAATCACAAAAAGACAACACTCAAACTGACAAGAGAGGCCCTGACAACGTTTGGACAAAAACTGGACACAGGACAGATGAAATGAGATGGAACTTGAAGAATAGGGAAAGGTGCTCAGGACAGTAAAACCACCAGAGAAAGAAGAGATGAGAGCACTTGAACCACATGCTGCGAGCAAGCTCCAGGAAGGTGGGAAATGCGCCAGCAGGCCTGGCACATTCAGTAGAAAACAGGGCAATCACCGCACACAGCAGGGCATGCCAGGGACCCTGTGGAAGGTGCAGCAGCCAATGATAAGTGGAGAGGTGGGAACAGACTGCGTAACAGACCACATCTGTGTCAGAGGGGACCTGATGTGACCCGTGTTTGAGGGTGCCAGCAGCATTGGAGGTCAAGAGGCAGACCGCCTGGCACCCTGCACTTTATGCCTCCCGACGTGAAAGGAGGATCGCTGTGAATGCTGCTTCACGAGGGCTGATTGTCGGGGGGCAGAGATGCCCGAGGTGCTGGAAGGGGCAGGGTGGGCTGAGAACCTGACCTCAGTGAAAGACATGCCCAAGGGCAGAAGACATCCTTTTTCAAGGACATTAACATTACCACAAGCTGCTGACAAAAACGAGAGCCACCCTCACAGGTGGTGAACACTGGGTGCCACAGAATTGAGTCGAGACACCCTATCCAGGCCCCTGCCAGATGGGAGGGGAAGGCCAAGGCGAGGCCTCCCAAGGCCCGGCTGCCACCCACGGGTCTTCCCACAGGAGCCTAAGCTGGTCTGATGAAAGAGGAGGGTCCTCAGACCACACGCCTGGCCCAGCTGCCCCACCAGGACGCACCTGCTTCAGCTGGTCCCGCAGGCGGTCTTCCGTGACACCCAGGGCCCGCATGCCTCTCGCTCGACATGCCGACTGCAACTCTTTGACATTGAGGCTGTCCACCCCCTCCTCAGCAATCAGCTGGAAAAGAAAATCAATGCATTATTCTTCTGAAAGGCCACTAGAGGGTTATGGTGCTGATGGCGACATGCTTGGGAACTGTCCAATTATAAGCCACTTTCCTAATGTGCTTTGTTAAGTAACAGATAAACCACCCCCACCAAGGCCAGTTCTGGGTTTGCAGGGACAGGAACCGTCTAACAAAGGGAGGTCTTTGGGAAGCTCTCCCCAGCCGGAGGGAGGAGGGACAAGCAGACAGGAGTTCCCCAGAGGATATGGGCCGCAGCATCAAGGGGACCGTGCAAGCAACAGGAGGGAGGAGACAAAGAACAGCAGTGGCTCCTTGTCTGTTCCCACTCCCAGACCTCAGTCCACCCATCCAACCTGGCCGTGACCCTGAGAGAGACAGTGCCGCCCCACCCACTTTCTTCATTAAGCTTTTATTTTGAGATGGTGGCAGATGAACAGGTGGTGATAACAGATGCAGATTCCCGGTTCTCCCGTGGTGACATCTCACAAGGTGCAGTACAAAACCACCACCAGAGGGGACGCCAGGCTGCTGCAGGCCAGAAGCCTCCACGCCCACAGGCCGTCAGGCCGCCCTGTGCACAGCCAGCGCCCTGGACCTCACACCCACGCAGCTGGTCTGCACTCCCCTGCCCTCTGACGCACGAGTGTGAATGCCCCCGTGCGGCACGTAACTTACCGGGATCCCACGAAGACACATCCACGCAGATGGCCGGCGTGCCCCCCACCTTGTTGCACTTTGTGCTACGTCGCACTGCCCGGCATGCACATCTGCTTTAATGCCTTGTCCACTGAAGGGCATCTGGGTTGTTCCCTGTTTCAGTTCTTATGAAAAACTGCCTGTCTGCTTTCTGGTCCCCATCTTCCTGTGGGTTACGTAAATCCCAATGGGACTTCCCTCTCGTGTTTCTGGGTGGACCTCCTTCTGTGTGGACCCCAAGAAAGAAAACACCTACTAAAAAGGGATCCTGGAGGCTAGTTGGGCTCAAATTTTCAAAAACAGAGTCTAGCAGCCATTATCTACACAAGGGCCTCTCACAAAAACCACATTCAGGGAGCAGCCTGCTCTCACCTACCGGCCTCCACCCTGAACTGCCTGCCTGCGCTGTGTCCCCGCCATCTGAGCAGCCCTTATAAAGGTTTCCTGGAATCCTGTTTCAACCAGTAGGACCGAGGTTTTCCCCACCCAACCAGAACTGTATCTACAGCCCATCTTCTTCACCAACCAATAAGAATGTCTATTTTAACCAATCAGGACAGTGCCTCTTGGACCAATCAAACTGTGAGGGTTTGGAGCCTTCATTTGCATGAGGATGGACCAATCAGGAACCAGGGCAGGGACTTGTCTGTAAGCCAGCTCCCCTCTGGTTCTGGGAGCACACTTCCCCTTTCCACTGAGCTGAAACCCGGAGATGTCTCACTGCAGCAGGGCAGGGCAGCCCAGCTGGACAGGGGCCTGGCCCCAGGGCTGCCTCACAGCCGTGCTGTTCTCACAGCCTTGCTGCGTCACAATTGAGCTGTTTTGCACTGAATAGTTTCCTTCTTCACTGCACCCCACATTGGGGATTCCTGTTTGGCGCTGAATTGGTGCCAATGGACCATGAGTGACCACATGGCATTTCCAGTGGCCACTCTGGGTACTACACGTGTGTAACTTGCCACAGTCTGTTCCAGTCCTGGTGAACTGTAGAAATCCCACTGCCCTCAGCGTCCCTTGACCGTCTTCCATTCTACTCACATAGAAAGCCACATGCCACAGCGCTGTCGTCTTTGCTTGAACCACCAAACTTGATGTAGAAGACACACAGGGAGGAAGAGCCTCTGTTGGATTTTCTCACTTTTCCTTCCTGATGTCCCATTTCTTCCTATCTTCCTTCCTGTTTAGAGGACACCTCCCTTCAGGTTCTTCTAGGACGTGCCTGCTGTTGACAAACCTCTTGGTTTCCCCCTGCTTCCTATAGGATACTGTTGCTTGACACAGGGCTCTGGGCCAACAGCTCTGCATCTGTATTCTTTTCCCTGCAGGTAAGATGTCACTTTCAAAATTATTTCTGTCCTTAAGTGCTCATTAGTTTGACTATGGTGTGTCTTGGTGTGGATTTCTTTGGGTTTATCCTCTCTGAGGTTCCCTCAGTTGCTTAAACTCACAGAACTTAAGGAATTTGTGGGGTGTTCAGCCATTACTTTGCACACTTTTCCAGCTCTGCTGTCCCTTCTCTTTCCAGGAACCCCACGACACATGAAAAGTTCTGCAGTAATCCCACAGGTCCCTGAGGCTCTGACCACTTTTCACTATTTTCTCTTTGTTGTTTCGATGGGTGAATTCTACTGTTTTACCTTGAAGTCCACTGACCCCTATCTTTTGTCCTGTCCATGCTGCTGTAGGGCCCACCCACGGAGTCTTGTATATTGGATGGTACTTTTTTTATTTCTAAATGTCTTTATTGACTTCAGAGAGGGGAAGGGAGAGAAATAGAAACATCAATGATGAGAGTCACTGATTGGGTGCCTCCTGCACGCCTCCTACTGGGGATCGAGCCCGCAACCTGGGCATGTGCCCTGACTGGGAATCGAACCACAATCTCCTGGATGGTAGGCTGATGCCACTAAGTTTCCACGGGTTCTTCTTTGTTGTCTTCTTTGCTGAGACTGCATTTCCACGTAGTTCACTCCATCACTGTTGGGGAAGCATGTTCCTGTGGCTGCATTCAGATTGTGCCTGGCCTCTCTAACCTGTCCTCAGTGCTGGCATCCACTGGTGACCATTCTCATTCACTTTGGGATCCTTCTGGTTCTTGGCATGGGAAATAATTTTCTACTGAAACCTAGGCATTTTGAATGTTATGAGACAATTATTTCAATTGTCTGCCTTAGCTGGCTCCCTCTGACGTGTGGGGTTAAGGGGCACTGTTCTAACCAACTTTTATAGATCCTGTAATTGATGATCTGGCATCTGTTGACCCAAACTAATGGCCAAAGTTATTTGCATCTCCCTGGTGGCCCAGTTTTCGTGGGCGCGCGAAAACTGTATTTCAAATCCTCCGACCACAAACTCCAACCTCTGTGTTTCACTTCCTGCCCAACCCAACGTCTCCAGCTGGCCACCCCCACCATAGTAACAAAGGCCCAGTCCCCTTCCGCCTCCTTCCCTGCTTCTGCTGCTTCCTGCTCTGGGTGTGTCAAGGTCTCCTATAGGCCTATGGTGCTGTGACTGTTTCTAGGGAACCATGAACAACAGGCTCCTTTCACTGGTACTGAGCTCCTTGTGCCATCAGTCAACCTCATAAATTGCATCCCAGGTAAACCCTCTGCTGGGGGAGGTACAGTGCTGCCTCGTTCCTGCCAGGCTTCCCACTGGGTCTCAGGAGACCCCCTCGGGGGGGACTACTCATGTGTCTGGGTCTACAGTTCTACATTTGTATTCTTTTGGGAGGGGTGAGTGAGGTTCCAGCTCCCCACCAAGAATCATAGACAACCCCTTCTGGGAGAGGCAGGAGAACCTCATTACTGGCCCCACCTGGCCTCTGCTGACCCGACCCCAGGGGCGGAAGGAGTGCCTTAGAACTGGAGGTGGGGTGGAGGTCTCGGCCCCCACCCACTGTTGTATGTGGGGGCAGGGCCAGTGTTCCCTGCGGTGTGTGGCTGGGCGACCCGTCCTGGTCTGTGGTGGAGAGCAGGCTTTTGTACCTGACGGTGTTTCTGGATTGCCAGCTTCCTCAGCCCCAAGGCTGGGACCTATGAGGCACAAAGATGACCCACTGTGCTGCTCCTGGGTCCCAGGGTCATCTTCTCACATCTCAGTCTTCTTGTATTTTCTACTTCCTGTCCAGGGGAATGTGTGCCCACTCCACCTTCTCGACAGCCGAGGTCTGGCTGCCATTCCATTCCCGTGGAAGCTGAGGCACTCCACAGTGAAATGACTTGTCCCAGGTCACAAAGCAAGTGAGTGGTCAGGCTCAACCCTGGCCGTCTGCCCTTCAGCTGCCTCTCCTGAGGTGGGGCAGCCACGCCAATATGCACTCCCTGAGCAAGACGGCGCCTCAGGGACTGCCCACGTCGGCGTGGCTCTCCAGAAGAGCAGATGTCCTGAGCACCCTCCTGTGGACAAAATTCACAACATGCCAAAGACAATTTCCTCTTGTCCTTACAAATACTTAGGGATAACCCAAGAGTTGTAGCCACATGGAGTCATTGTCTTCACCAGACCAGCCCCCACTGAGAACAACGGGAGAGGCAGGGACAATAACACAGTCACGTTTGGAGCATTAGAAAGCTGAGATGACCAGGGTTTGGGGTAGTGAATGTCTGTGGCCCAGGACAGACCAGGCAGCCATGTCATGTGGGCTGGCCATCCGTGAAACGACGGGGAACCAGGGCATGTGCCAACTCAGAGCAGGCTGAGTCCAGGCCAAAGGCCACTGCTAAGAGGCAGAGATATCTTGTCAGGCTAAGAAGAAACAGCAGGAGTCAAGGGGCTGCTGAGGCAGGCAAGCCCTGAGGGCTACAGCCTAGGGAGAGGGCAGGCATAGGAAACAACCCTGGTGCTGGGTCTCAAGCTGAGCAGGGCAGAGGTGAAGGGCCAGGCAGAGACTCCACACAGCAGATGGGCAGCCAGGGAAAAACCGGCCCAGCCTGGTGCATGTGTATCATGGGGATACAGTGACTTCTCCTGGGGGGCTGTGCCACTCAGGAACTCTACAGTGTTTCAAACAGTGTCTGTATTTGAAAAAACAATACTACATACAAGCAAAATCAAGACAGAAAACAAACAAAAAAAGACCTCTATTTCACACTGTCACGGGAACAATCAGACATGAACCAAGATTAGCATGTTCAAGAAAACGGACGGCAAGATGGATAGTTTTATGTAAAAACTGAAATCTTAAAAAACACACCCCAAAACAGAATTCCTAGGGTTGAAATGAAGAACTCAGAATGGGTTTAAGAGTAATTAAACCCATGCTCTGGCCAGGCAGCTCAGTGGTTAGAGCATCATCCTGATACCCAAGGTTGTGAGTTCAATCTCTGGTCAGGGCACATACAAGAATCAACCAATGGCCTGGCTGGTGTTGCTCAGTGGTTGGGTGTTGACCTATAAACCAGGAGGTCACGGTTTGATTCCCAGAGAGGGTACATGACCGGTTGTGGGCTCAATCCCCAGTAGGGGGCCTGCAGGAGGCAGGCAGCCAATTGATGATGTTTCTCTCTCATCATGGATGTTTCTCTCTCTTTCCCTCTCCCTTCCTTCCTCTCTCTGAAATCAATAAAAAAAAATTAAAACAATAACCACCAACCAACGAATACATAAGTGGAACAACAAATTGGTTTCTTTCTCTCCCCCTTCTTCCTGTCTCTCTAAAATCAATCAATAAAAAAAGAGGCCTAGCCGGCGTGGCTCAGCACTTGAGCACTGACATATGATCCAGGAGATCGCAGTTCGATTCCCGGTCAGGGCACATGCCCCAACTGTGGGCTCGATCCCCAGCAAGGGGCATGCAGGAGGTGGCTGATCAATGGCTCTCAGGCTTGATGTTTCTCTCTCTTCCTCTCCTTTCCTCTCTATGAAATCAATAAAGACTTACTAAAAAAAAAAAAAAAAAGTTAAAAAAAAGTTAAAAGAGTAATTAAACCCAGAAGAAGAGATGAATGATCGAAAGGACAAGACGATATGTAGAGAAGAGTGTGTGAGGACATGGTAAAGGGTCCAGCGGAGAATGTGGCGGTGGGGGGGAGGGGGAATTTAGTGAGGTGGTGGAAGCACCCCGATCAGTAAACAGAAAAATGGCAAATTATCATTGTAAAATGGCTAAAATCCCAAAACAAAGACAACCTGAGAGGCTGCCGGATGGACACCTTCCAAGGAACAGTAACAGGCCCACCCACCCCACTGAATGGCAGCCTGGAGTTCTATACTTGGCAAAAATGCCCTGAAAACCAAAAGGAAGGGAGATCCCCACACAGGAGAAACTAAGAGAAGCAGTCACAAGGAGGCAGTTCAGGGAGGAGGTGTCTGGGTGGAACGGGGGCAGGATGGCACGGGAGGAAAGTATTCATCAAGGGGCCTGAGATGCCACAACACCAGGCGAAGACATGTGCAGAGAAGTCTTGGGAAGGAGCCAGCACTGCCGGGAGGGTGGGAAAGTGTGCTGTAAACCTCAGGGAAACTGCCAAAATGACAAGTAAGTAACAGGCTAATGGGGGGGGG